TATTAATACATTTGTACATTTATATTAATTATATTAATACATTTATACATAATATTAATATATATTAATAAAATTATAATTTATACATTTATATAATATTCATTTGTAATTTATACATTTATAATAATATGTAATTTTACATTTATAAATATATTTATAATATGTATTATATGTAATATAATACATTTATATATTTTTATATAAATACATAAATATATTTATTTATAAATATTTATAAATGTATATTTATATAAAAATATATAATTTATAATTTATACATTTATACATTTATACATTTATGTAATATTCCTTTATAATTTATAAATTTACAAGAATATACACTTATACATTTATAAATATATTTATATTATGTATTATATGTAATATAATACATTTATATACTTTTATAGAAATAAATAAATATATTTATTTATAAGTATTTATAAATCTATTATAAATGCATAAATGTATATTTATATAAAAATATAAAAATTATAAATTATAAATTATACATTTATACATTTATATAATATTCATTTATAATTTATAAATTTACAATAATATACACTTATACATTTATAAATATATTTATATTATGTATTATATATAATACAATAAATTTATAATATATTTTTATATAAATATATAAATATATTTATTTATAAATGCATAAATGTATATTTATATAAAAATATAAAAATTATAACTTATAATTTATACATTTATACAATATTCATTTATAATTTATACATTTATAATAATATACACTTATACATTTATAAATATATTTATATTATGTATTATATATAATATAATACATTTATAATACATTTATATATTTTTTAGCGAATATATAAATATATTTATTTATAAATATTTATAAATGTATTATAAATGCATAAATGTATATAAAAATAAAATTATATAAATTATAAATTATAAAAATACCCAAAATATGTTTTAAAAATATCTCTAAAAATAATCCAAAAAACATCTACAGTAAAAGTTTTTCATATAGTTTTTGAAAAACAATCTCAAAAACAACTAACCCAAACGGACTTGTATTTCAAAAACGAAATGCTACAGTGCTGTTTTTGAAAAACAACCCCAAAAACAGGTAATCCAAACGGAGCCAAGGTTATTTTGGCAAAAGACTCTGTTTATGCAAAGCAAAAAGACAATAATATCCTCATTACAAGGATATGGTCTAATAACCTTTTTTTAAACCTTTTTCTTCCTCTCTTTTTCTTTGTTAGCTATGCATCTTTTTATTCTTCATTTTGTATACAAACTTCAACAATAATGTGTTTAAGAATTTCCTTTTATGATCAAATATATAGTGTAACTTTCTTTCTAAAAATAGGGGTGTCAACTGTCAACAAGTTCAATCGAACTTGAATACTAGCATGTTCAAGCTCGAGCTGGAACTATATAATCTAAGCTTGAACTTGATGAATCTCCGATATTAAAGTTTGAACTCGACTCGTATAAAGTATAAGGAGCTCGAGAAGCAAATTGAAGTGAAGTTCGTGCTTGAGTTTGAGTGGTAAAATATGTAATTTATTCTCAAAAAAATGTGTTTTATGTTTTTAGTTAATTTAATAAGGATTAATCTTTTGAAATAATAGATTTTTTAGATTTTAATATATATATATTTATTTAAGTATATAATGTAAAATATTTTCTGATTTTTACTAGTCAAAATGTTTAACTTATAAAGATTTTTTTTAAAAATTTCAATAATCTAAGAGAGGAAAACCTAATTTTATAAAATTCTGGGGGCCCCTCTAATTCTGTCCATGATCACAAACCGATTGCCTTTACCTAATAAAAAAGAAATGAGATTTTCCACTTTGCATACTACTACTTCTTACGTCCCGTGAGGATGTGACAACTTTTCTTTTGTGTTTGTTCCAAATTATAGAATTGTTTCCTTTTTTGAAAGGATAAATTAGTATATGAATGTATTAGTCATCCATTCTACCAGAAGTATTAAATACAATACTAAAACAAGTATTAATAGAAGGGGGCATATAAGAAAACTACTAACCAAAAAGGATCCCAATAACTATCATCTTAATATGTTTAAAAGTGAAAATAAGCTTATTTTTATGAGATGGAGTGCAAAATATATAACTAGAAAACCAGCGGTGAAAATAAGCTTATTTTTATGAGACGGATGGAGTACAAAATATCTAACTCGAAAACCAATGTGCCAGTATAACTATTTTTAAACTATTTAATAATTTTCGAACACATTCCAATTCATTTTAGATAGTTTGTATATGTTTGTAATAAAAATGTTACATTCGACTCCGATTTATGTAAGCACGTAAATGTTCAATTCATCAATGTCATGTGGCGTTCTCCTTTCCTTGAGATTTTAATGTGACATTGTGGGCCACTTTTGGAGCCTACACGGCAGGTTATGAATCATCTAATAGTGGGCTCCAAACCTTGGATGGTATCAACAGCATCAGCAGCAGGAGAATCGTAGGCTTGGAAGGTTATGTGATAGTTTCCTTGACACCACAATACCAAATTTATGAGTTCGCATTCTCAACCTTCTCGAACTTGTATTTTGTTTCCTGGAAGAAATTAAGGTTCCTCGATTCACCTCAACCGATGATAGAGAAAGGGGCAAGTACAGAACTACCAATGATTTATAGGTTGAAAAAAAAAAAAAGGAATTTGTCTGGCTGAATTCAATAATTGCAGCAATAGAGAAATCGATAATTGAACACACACACACTTCCTTCTGGCCTACACCTTTTGCAGAGAACAAGAACAAATGACAGATGCAGATCAGATGAAGGCTCCACCTAAATTTCTAGGAAATCACCTAAATTAGCAACCCTCAGATAGTTTAATAGGGCGTTTCAATTCAAAAGACTTTCTGTTTTCTCTTCATGTCTTTATCTCTCCATCTCTGTAGTTCAGTATTCGGATAGCCACCAAGTTGACAACATACATATGTGATTATCAATTCAAGGTATGTTTTGTATCCCATAACGTAAGTTTATGCTTATCATACATATTTGTTTCTCTACCTGCTGGTACTGATTTGAGTTCTTCTTTCTTTTTTATTTTCTCTCATTTACATGTAAACTTCAAATTACTGACGGGGGTTCTTATTATTGTAAATGGATGTGTAAGTTTATGCTGATGTTAGGTCAAAATGTTAAAATACTCTCACAAGATTTAGAAAGTAAGAGCTAAATTCTCAAATATATATATATATATATATATATATATGGGGTCTCCCTCTTTTGGTTGAAATTCGTATTATACTTATAAGGCTCTTTCTTGCAACGGTTATGTTTTATGGTTGGGTAATTTATGGGAGGTGGCTGCACGCAAAGCTGTTCGACTTGCAAAAATTTACGGGCTGTATCTTTGAAGGGGATTATGCTTCCATTATTCAAGCCTTGACAAAAGAAGGAGACGATTACAAGTTGGGTAAGTTTGAGTTTGGGGTGATATCACAACGTTCTTGGCTCTAAATCTGGTTAGAATTTGTTCCAAATTTCGCAACCTTAATTTTGTAGAACCCTTAATTATCCAACCAAGAGCAAAGAAAGACAGACCCGCAAGTAGAGGTGGCAAAATGGGCGGGATGGGCGGGATTTGCTTGGGTTTAAGATGGAACCGAGTCATATGGGTTTGGGCCCAACCTTACCCATATATGTTTTGGGACTAATTTGGGCGGGATCACTTTGGGATGGGTTTAGATTGATCCCGCCCAATACCCAAATATATTTTCTATATATATTTTTTCTTTAATTTATTTTTTTATTTTTTATATAATTTTAATATTTTTGATTTATTAAATTTCTTTTAGTTTTATTAAATAAACATGCAAGTGCTTTATACTCAGGATTATCACTAAAAATTGGATTAACAAATAAAGGAAAAGATAGATATACAATCATGACTATAAAAATTGTTAAAGATAATTTTTGAATCTAAGACTCCGTTTGGATTGGCTATTTTTTCAAAAAATAAGTTTTTCAAATACAATGTTACAGTAATATACAATAACTCAAAAAACATTTCATCCATATTAGTATATCAAATATTTCAAAAAAATTTTATAGTAAAAATTTTTCATATACACTAATACAATAAAATATTTCAAAAACACCCCTAAAAAATAGTTAATCCAAACGGAGCCCTTGCTATTTGAGCCCAATGGGTACCCAAGCATTTTCCAAAATTTCCCATCAATTAATGGGTACAATTGGGATTTGTCCCATTTTAAACCCAATATTAAATTTCAATACCCATCCCGCCCAAAGTCTCAATGGGCATGGATAACCCATTGGGACTTGGGACAAATTGCCACCTCTACCCGCAAGTATAGCGGCGCCCCAAGCTTGAGAATACCATCTACTATACTGCCTAGTAGCATACCTCCACTGCTCCCTGAGAGTGGCCGGGTCCGGGTTAGTCGTCTCAGGTGGGTTCGGGTACTTTGGCCCGGAAGAGAACCCGCTACCAGAGGATCCAACTGGGAATTTCTCGGAAGAAGGTTGAGGAAGGTTTTTGTTGGGTTTTCCGTCTCGCGTCTCGTGCTGGTCCGTCATGGTGGAAGCTTTGAAGGGGCAATACTGTGATAGAATATAACGACTACCTTGCTGACACAAAATGTCATCAGTAGACAAAATATGAGCTCGTCATCAGAAATCTGGGTAGGTTATAATTCGTAATAAATTTTGAATAGTTAATACCAACACACATAAACTCAAAACTATAAAATAACAGCCGTTGGAAGGCTTGGAGCGTATTCTTGGGTAATTTTCTTCTAATAATTTGTTCCTCGTTTAGGAAGGAATTAGAGTCAAACGAAGACAACCAAAATTTTTAAGGAACTTGATATCCTTTACTTTTCTCTAATTTTTCTTTTTATTGTTTAGAACAGTTGCACTGTCATTAATAAAGACGAGTTTATAGTCGATTGTTGCATTACTCGGACATTGTAAGCTAACACATGGGGCTGAGCTCGAAAGAGACTTCATTGGCTAAATCTGAATTGAGAACTGCAGGGCACTCATTTCTTCCTTGGAAGATTTGTGCTCTCACATGTTTCCCAATCCAACAAATTTTCCTAATCTCCTAAAAACAATTAAAACATCATCCACTTCTCAAGATAGCCAAGTAAAAGCAAAATCACATGTAATACGATCTAGAATGCCCAATAGCAAAATGTGTAGCAACGTTGACAGACTAACACAGCCCGTTGAATGTAATCCCACACACTTTAAGTAAAATAACCAGTTATCAGCAAAATCAAGTCATAATCGAAGTTCAAGAACTTCAACAGCACAAAGTGTGTCATCCAGCATCCAAGGTGAGATTTGGTGCCACATACAGAACTTACATGACAGCCAAATTTGTCACGAATCAAGTCTCCTGTTACTAAGTTCAAGAACCTTAGCAGCAATCTGCTTCAGCCAGCAGCCATCTAACTTCATCAAACAAAGTTCTATTTCTTACATACATTAGTCATCTATATCAGCTAAAAAGAAGCAAACTAATAGTGCGATATGGAACAATCTCCATAACCTGCACGTTTAACAGAAAACCTGTGAATGACATTTATTAAACAACAACAATTTCAACTTGTTTATCATCGACTCGGAAAGAGAACTGGCCAGGTGCCAAGAATTACCATAGAACTAGTACGGGCAAGGCCTTACTTGACAATCAAGGCAGCCACAAGATTGCAGCTAAAGCATTTTGTCAAGTTGAATAAAGTAACTAATAAATCCAACCGTCCTCCTCATAGGATCAAATATGCCCAGTTCTTAAAACTTTAGCTATAGATCATAAGCCTCTGCCCTAATTATCTTATCCAGTGAGTTTTTGCCAAGACAATATATACAACACACTACCCTTCTTAGAGGAGCATATCAACACAGGATTGAAACAAACAAATTCTGCATAAATGTTTAGCTACATGCGATAAACCTCTCCCATACTTGGTTTTGCTAATAAATTCTAGCAGAGAGGCATATTCTACAGTCTGCAGGGATCCAAAATCACATTCACAGGCTTGTCAAATTCACTTATCTTTTGGTTCAATGTTGTTGGCAGTGGACTCAAAGATTCTAAAGTTGAATACCAAGTTAGTAAACATGGATCTTTGAAGCTCATCAAACTTCATTTATACTTGCAGAACATAATTGGCCTATCAATTCACATAAATTTTCTTTTAAGTCTTTAAACTCCTTTAATAACCTTAAAGTTGATTGCAGATGAGAAATTTTAGTTTCAGAAAGTTTGCGAGGATACATTTCTTCTAAAAGCAAAAAGGGCACCTGTAGATTTGTGATATTACAGCCACCAAAATGAACGCAGCAACTGAACAAGAATTCATAAGCTAAAAGAACAAACTGAAACACAAAAAGGTCCACAAACAAAAAATATATATATATAATGCACTTTACAAACTTGGAAACATCACAAACAATAAACTCAAAAACTTAAAATTGCGCCTTAATTAGAATATGTACATTGCATGAGCAGCATTACTACCAGATTATATGGGAACGAAATGCTAAAATCAAGCAACATGTGAGATATGAAACACATACTAAAATGCCAAGCAACATTTCCAGTTAACCTTGATGATTGTGAAAAGTAGCAATCTTTAATTCCAATAGCATGTGTAGTTATGCAACAAAGTTGACTTGTAATCAGAACATATATATTATGCCACACCAGAAAAACAAGACATTACACAACATGTTATGCCTATTCGAGTCCCTCGCAAACTAAAATCACCAGAAAAAATGAAGTACAGATTATCTGCAACAAAGTGACAAAATAGCCTCCCCACCACACCTAAATTACCTTTGCATCCAAGAATAGCATATTCAATAGCAACAAAGGGTTCGGACTAGGCAACAAATTTGAAGTTTTTGAAAGACAGAGCTGAATATCCCACATCCATAACAAGTCAATGTATAGCAGCAGCCAAGACAATAATTGTTGCTTTGCATAAAGATTGCAACAACAACAAAATCAAACCCACATCAAGCCTCAAAACATGCATGTAGCATGCCCATGATTACACCCAGCAAAAACCATATGTCAACTTAACAGACTCATAGACTAGAACTCTGATGATTGTAGAACCAGCATATTAGTCAACTGCCAACCGTAGTTTTCATGTCAAGACCAGATTTCACTATATGACAACCCTGAGGAGGAAGAAGCCGACTATATCATCAACTTAGTAGATTTCTGTAAAGTTATTTGTGTGGACATAGCAGAGGAAGTACGATATAAACCATGGAGAAAGTTCCTGAATAAATTGTTCCAGAAGGACCTCCACTGCTGACTTTTGGTATCTTTCTAAAATCATGAGACATGGGCTCATTATACTTACCCAGTATATGGAAGAAAAACACAGGAAAACACAGTGTGGAGATCATGCTGCTATTCTAGCGAATTCCTAATTTCCACCTATAAACTGATAACTCATAAAAGTTCAAAACCAATATCAGAAACCCAATTAGATTGAATTACCTGGAACAGCATAGGTCAAGTTGCAGGAACTGATTTGAGCCGGCAGAATTGCACATCAATAGATTCTGGATTCCACCCGTTCCAGACTAAGGCTTGGAAGGTATCAAAAGCATTAGTAACAAAATCCTTGGCTTGAAAGGTTATGTAGTAATTGACACCAGCACCGCCAAGTTGTGCATTTGCCTTCTCAACCTTTTCCAATTTGTAATTCTTAATCTGAAAGATTTTACTGTTTAATTCACTTGAAATAGGTAACAGACTAATGCAGCTGTAAAAAGTGATAAATATTAACAGAGGAAAAGAGTAAAAGAAAAATTAATTTTTGGAACACATACTTTTTCCTTGTTGAAATGCACAATTGCAGCTTTTGACAGTTCAGCCATGTCGCTCGAGAAATTGTCAACATCCAGGGGAGTAAATCGAGCCATCAAACATAGACCAGGATAATGATAAATGTCAAAACCCTAACACAAAGGTATGATGCCCCAAATAAGATCAATCTAGATTAAGAGAGACAAAGGGGGGAAAAAAGAAAAAACAATGCAGAACATCACAAATACCACACATAAATACCTCACTCTCCTCGATCTCTTTAAAATACTTGGTCCATACATCTTGATCAATCTCTTCGACCCCTTCGGGGCAATAGTCCAACTTCAATTTCTCAAATTGCTCATCAGAAATGGTAAAAATTTCATTTGAACAACAGGAATCCTTTTCTGATGTTGGCATCTCCTTTTCCTTCTCCTTGGCACCATGGCATTCTTTATCATCAAGCTTGTGCTTCTTTTGGGGTGGTGAAGCCCCTAAAGAATCTTCCTGATCTCCACCTATATCACCAACAATGGGATTTTCAAATGAAATACTCATGTCAGCTGATGTTATCTGCCCCAGTTATTCCCCTCGCCCTACCCAAAACACAAATTAAAAATCCTAATTCAATCCTCTGCGGTTGTTTGCCAATCTCCTCGCCCAAGATGTGTACTTAAAAAGTTACCCTGTTTGACTTTTCTATCCAACTATTCTTGACATATACAGGAGAGGGGAGAGGGCAAAGCAGTCAAAACGTTTCACTGCAAAATACCAAGAAAAGACCGAAATGGAAACACAAGCAAGAAGGTCTTCCAAGTTCCACCATAAATAACCATTAATAACAAACCGAAAAATAGGAACCGGAAGCTATCTAAACTACAAAAAGCCGCGAAGCCAAATCTACAGTTGATTGTGCCGGTTTCGCTGTGGTTTCGCAGCTGATTTCGTCCTTTTTGATCCTTTCCAGCTTCCGTGCAGCCCCTTTGGCTGCTGGTGCCTTTTTGCTCATTTCTGCTTTTGTTCCCTTCTTCCAATTGTGCCCTTGTCCTGGTTTCTTTGTAATTTTATGCTCAGTTTTGTCCTTTTGTTTGCTGTCCATCCTTCGCTGCTGCAATATGTTATCGGACCCTTTTGTTTCCTGTCCATCTTTCGCTGTTGCAATTGTTATCGGACTCTATTGACAAAAATTAGATATATTAATTTATCAATTTTATTAATTAACTTCCTTCAACGTATAACTTCCTTCTTTAACTTTGTAAACGTTTCCTTCTTCAAAATATAATTTCCTCTGCTTTTTTATATATTAACAAAGATATTGATTTTCAAAAAATTATGCAAATCAATAAAAATGCTATATGCGGAAGTGTTCAAATCGTTTACTAAACTAGATATACTGCTATTTTTTAAAATTCTTTTGGAAAAATGTATTATAGTAATTTAATATTTATAAAATAAAAAATATTATCTTAATTTTCAAGCCGTGTATATTGACCAACGTATTTTTATGTTTACAATTTTATCACTTTTTTATATTTATTCGCTTACTTATTAACTTTCTCTAAAATGTGTATATCAACAAACATATTAAATATAAACAAAATATGCAGGTTGCTATATACACAAACATATTAAATATCAAAAAAAATATGCAAGTCGCTAAAAATCCTATATACATCTAATACATACAAATGAATAAAAATTCTATATGTATCTAATCAATATATATAAATCGATTATGGTGTTTTGTATTAATGCAGATCAATGAAAATCATATATGTTTAGCATGCATCTAATATATATAAATTAATAATACTACTTTGTATTAACATATAATAAGTGTTATTTATGTGAAATAATTATAATTTTGACACTATTTTTATGTTTATAATTTCTGTCCTTCTTTATATTTATCCACTTATTTATTAACTTTGTCAAAAGTGTGTGTATTGAAAAAAAAATATTAAATATCAAAAAATTATGTTGGTCACTAAAAATCCTATGTATATCTAATACATACTAACGAATAAAAATTTTATATGTATCTAATCAATATATATAAATCGATTATGCTATTTTGTATTAATGCAGATCAATGAAAATTATATGTGTTTAACCTATATCTAATATATATAAATTAATAATACTGCCTTGTATTAACATATAATAAGTGTTACTTATATCAAATAATTATGATTTTGAGACTATTTCTATATTTATAATTTTCTCTCCCTCTTTATATTTATCCGCTTATTTATTAACTCACTTATTTATTAATTTTGTCGAAAGTGTGTATATTGACAAAAATATTAACTATTAAAAAAAATATGCAAATCACTAAAAATGCTATGCACGTCTAATACATAAAATAGTCTTCTTTTATATTTATTCACTTATTTATTAATTTCTCCAAAATACATATATTAGCAAAAATATTAAATATGAAAAAAATATGGAAATTCCTAAAAAACCTACGTACATCTAATATATGCAGATGAATAAAAATTCTATGTGTATCTAATCAGTATATATAAATCAATTATACTGTTTCGTATTAATACAAATCAATGAAAATCATATGTACTTAACATGTATCTAATAAATATAAATTTAATTAATTTTCTCCAAAATGTATATATTAGCAAAAATATTAAATATGAAAAAATATGCAAATCGCTAAATATCCTACGTGCATCTCTAAAATGTGTATATTAACAAACATATTAAATATAAAAAAATGCAGGTTGCTATATACACAAACATATTAATCAATATATATATCAATATATATAAATCGATTATGGTGTTTTGTATTAATGCAGATCAATGAAAATCATATATGTTTATCATGAATCTAATAGATATAAATTAATAATACTACTTTGTATTAACATATAATAAGTGTTATTTATGTGAAATAATTATAATTTTGACACTATTTCTATGTTTATAATTTTCCATCCTTCTTTATATTTATCCACTTATTTATTAACTCACTTATTTATTAACTTTGTCAAAAGTGTGTGCATTGAAAAAATATTAAATATCAAAAAATTGCACAGGTCACTAAAAATCCTATGTATATCTAATACATACTAACGAATAAAAATTCTATATGTATCTGATCATTATATATAAATCGATTATGTTGTTTTATATTAATGCAGATCAATGAAAATTATATGTGTTTATCGTATATCTAATATATATAAATTAATAATACTACATTGTATTAACGTATAATAAGTGTTATTTATATCAAGTAATTATAATTTTGAGACTATTTCTATATTTATAATTTTCCTTCCTTCTTTATATTTATCTGCTTATTTATTAACTCACTTATTTATTAATTTTATCTAAAGTGTGTATATTGATAAAAATATTAACTATTAAAAAATATGCAAATCACTAAAAATGCTATGCACATCTAATACATAAAATAGCCTTCTTTTATATTTATTCACTTGTTTATTAATTTTCTCCAAAATATATATATTAGCAAAAATATTAAATATGAAAAAATATGGAAATTCCTAAAAAACCTACGTACATCTAATATATGCAGATGAATAAAAATTCTATGTGTATCTAATCAGTATATATAAATCAATTATACTGTTTCGTATTAATACAAATCAATGAAAATCATACGTACTTAACATGTATCTAATAAATATAAATTTAATTAATTTTCTCCAAAATGTATATATTAGCAAAAATATTAAATATGAAAAAATATGCAAATCGCTAAATATCCTACATGCATCTAATATATGCAAATGAATACAAATTTTATGTGTATCCAGTCAATATATATAAATTGATTATGTTATTTCGTATTGATACAAATGAATGAAAATCATATGTACTTGACATGTATCTAATATATATAAACTTAAAAAATAAATCAATCCAATATTTATTGATTCAAAAAACAATTATTCATCAATAAATACAAATATATGATTATAAATTTATAATTTCAAATTGTTAAAAATCCTTATTTTGTATATATTATATTTATGAATTTATATTCTTCACTATAGTTCTTTTCTTTTAGTTTTTCTAATACTAAATTCTTCCACTATCTATCGCACGATCTTGAATCTTTGGTGAGTTTCATACAAATTACATTTCAATCAATATAATTCATACACTACATTGCTACTATCATTTCATAATACAAATATATTTTTTCCCTATTTTCTATCTCAGGTACTCATTGGTGATATACCCTCGCATATACAAACAGACAACATAAGAGTCATCAATTGCAATCATGCTAAAACTCGATGGATCTTTCAACTAGAAGGAATAGAAATAACAGAAAGTTGGCCAATATTCCCACAAAAACACTTCTTACACGAAAGAAGTGTCATCATGTTCACCCTACTCAATGAAAACAATTATCAACTAGCAGATACTTTATCCAACAATTATAATTAAACGTGTCCACTACAGCTTCTTGCACATAGCAATTATCTGTTCCCTAAATTTTCTTTATTCTACTTCCACTTATATTTAACAATATAAAAATAAACATATCGAAATTATTTGAATTATTAATTTATCTCAACTCTTAAAAAATGATTTACATTCCATTAATTTAAATAATATTTACATCATGTTACTCTTAAAAAATTAAATACAAATATCTATTTATAAATATATTAATCCAATATATTGTTCCTCTATTTATTATTCCAACCCTACTATCATATAAAACACTCTAAATATTAATTATTAAATAAATCTAACATTATTCTTAAACAATCAATAATGGACACCCCACAAAAATCGCGGGGCACAATGCCTAGTATTATTTTTAAACGGTGTTACAAGACTATTAAATTTTAGTTTTAATATACCCAAAATACCTATAATTTTCCAATAAAAGAATACCACATCCAAAATATACTTGTACACCTTACAAAGAATACAATATCCTGTTTCTTTACTTACCATAAGACAACTGTGAGTACGTACCAGTGCACGGGCATGATTGGCCAATTAGTTCACCCTTCAACATCTCAATTCCACTAATATTTCGTCAGAGAAAATAAGCATTAATCATACACAACAACAAATAGTATATAAATGTTAGAAAAAAACAAATAGTATATAAAACTATTTTTTCTCTTTTTGTTACTCTTTTAACCGTAAAATTTGTCATTTACCTGGCGCCACTTCTTAGCCTTGACCTGCCACCTTTGCTTCCCTTCACACCTGTTTTAGTTGCCACCTGGGTTTTACCTTTTAACTAAGCCACTAAATTTACCTCCTTTTGATTTTGTTCTAGAATCCCTTTTGTCCCCTCCATCCCCATCTCTTTTTTGATCTTTTGAAACACCCACGTCCATAGTTGATTTCAAGCCTTTCTCTAGCCAAGACCAACTAATCCCGGTTGAATATGAGATTCTAAAAACAAGCTCTTTCCTTATCTTTCCAATGCCATCTTGCCCCCAGTCGCCCCAAGAATTCTTAAACTCAAACATTTCTATCCCATCCTCTACACGCAAATCGGTCAACAAGATTGCGTGTGTGCCCAAGGTGCCAGAACTATTAATCTCTTCATCCAGAGTCGGTCCAGCGTAGATGCCCTGTAAAAGGTTTAGTGTTACAAGGTTTTCATGCATGAATTCTTAAACGTGTTTAATAATCGTATTTGTTCCAACCTCCTTCCAATTTATTAAGCTGTCGTATATATGCACTGCTCCAGCAATTGGAAACTTTGAGATTGCTTCTCTAATTTCTTCATCACTCTCTGGAACAACGATATCTTGCACAAAAAAACGCTGGGTCTGTGTGTTTACAATGAATTAATAACCTATTACGATGAGTTAACAAACACAATATAAAGGTTTTTTCAAAACAAGTACCACTTGCCCCACGAGGTGGGTTACATCTCTTATCTTCACTGTTGAATGGCTAATCCCACTCCAGACAAATTTCTACAGCTGCCGTGTATAGAAATATTCGCTTGATAGTAAATGTAGCATCTTTTTCAGCATCAGCTACCTCACTGTTCAGGTACCAACTTTTTGTACAGTTAACAACTTGTTGTTTGGATAATGGCAAATGATCTTTGTCTGCATGCAATGCCTTGTGTTGCGAGGACATTGTCTCTGGAGCCACGTAAGCCCAACATATGTCTTGACACAACGCAAAAACGAATTATACAAATTAATATCCTCTCCAAGTACAAAAAAATATGAAAAATAAAAAAATCATGAATTTACTTATATTACCATGAGGACCTTGATCAGCTACGGGTAGTACAACCCCTGGCACCTTCAGCCATGAATGGTCTGCCTGTTAAGAAGAAAGTAAAATGAATGACTTAAAAAAAATTCATTAAAGGGGCAGGCAGGCAGTCACGAGTAAAAATGGAGGAAAATGAAAAAAAAAAAAGGTGTCATTTAGCTATATACCACGTATAATTTCTAATTTGAGTCAAAAACTGTGTATGACTTCTTTCTTTTTTTTTTGTTTTTTTTTGAGGAGGTGCTCTGGCTACAAGAAACCAACAAAAGAGGTAGATACTGTAGTGCTTTAACGTAATAAGCATCAACCTTTCTCTTATGCAATAACCGTATATATAACTTGCTCTATTTTAGAAATGTCCAGAAAAGGAAAGAAAAATTAGAAGACAAAGTATTAATTGTTTGCTTAAAATCCAAATTTTAGAGTAAAGATACAATTTTAACCGACATTAGGAGCATGGAAAATACGGGAAAATGCGATTTTTGCAAGTGAAACAAAGCGAAAATTTGCTTCGTTTACCGTTGACGTCAAGAAGACTAAAGCAAAGGCACTCGGATACCTGATTAGCCATGGAGGAAACTGCTAAGAACAAGACGAGGAAGGAAGTAAGATGGTGTGGGTGAGGAATTGTCTAAGAGAAAGGGACGGAGAGGGTTTTAGACTAGCCTAGATACAGAAAGTTCAGAGATGCTTGTTTTAACTTTTGGTACTAGCAGGGTGTTTATTATTATTGTGGCGGGAAAAAGTTTATTATTTGACTAGATTTTCCAAATTATTGTGGCGGGAAAAAGTTTAATTTACAAGGACAGTTTTGAAAACTTTATATGTTTAAGGGGAGAAAACCATGAATTTTAAGTATTACATATCATCCATCCAATACATAATAAGTATGAAGTATGCATCCATATAACATACCTAAGCACTTAATAAGTACTTTTATTTTAAACTCTATTAGATCAAGTATTTTTTTTAATAAGTCACTAAGCACTTTAAAAAATTTCTATCAAATTAAATTCTGTTTAATAAGCCACTATAATTCCAAACAGGCACTAAGGGTGGCAAGCATTCCTGCACCACTGGAAAAAGAGTATTCAAAAAATGGTGATTTAAGGAGAGTATGCTGTACATTTGATTTCTCAATTCGTTTCTGTCATAATCGCTAAATTGGTCTTGCTTTTAGTTTGAGCAATATTTTTTGTTCGTAGGACTCTTATCCCTAATCATCGCGGTCCACTGTAAAGCTCGATGAAAACTGCGATTACAATTTGCTAATCCGTTTTCAAATATTGAGTCAATTCCCAAGAAGTGAATTAATTTAGAATAAGTAATTCTCAAATAGGAATGGCAATGGGCAGTGTAAAATCCAATACCCCCGCAAGTACACGACCCAATGGTTAATCCGATTAGATGACCGATGGATAATCCGTTAGAATTTGATATTGATGAGAGATAACGATGAATAATCCAATAGGATTTGATAAGAGAATCCTAAAAATTCCAAACTTGAAACTCAACACACACACACGACTCTACCAAAATTTAAATTTAACATAATATATTGATTTAACATTATGTGTGTATGCAATTTTAGTTTGATGTTAATTACCTTTTTTGAATTATCCAAATGAGGGGGCACCCAATAAATAATCCGAACTCAAGAGTGAGAGAATTTGGTAATGGAAATTAAAATCAGTAGGCTTATCCGATAGAGTTTGATTAAAAAAAAAAATACAAGATGTTTTTCTCAAAAGACCACATGCACTGCGTTTTTCGACTTGTCTAGGCCATTATTACTAAATCAACGTATTCGAAAAATACATCGATTAGTAAATACATTGAACTAGTTTCTTCGGCACTTTTGATTATTTGAGCACGCTTTTCAAAAACTTGGGGATTTCCTCCATAAACGCGCCATCTGCTGTCAAGAAAGCAGGCGGTTCTGCTTGATGCTCTGGTCAAGTCTCGAAGAAAATCCCGGAGATTTTATTACTGTAATTCGGTTAAACTGCTAGAAAGCCTTGTACATGCTTCAAAAAGCATTGGCAGAAACCAGCACTACTGCACCGCCTGGAGAGGGCTAATCCCTTCTGACCTGACATAGAAACAGAGAGGGGAATGAGAGATGTAAGAAATAATAGTATAGTCTAACACATAGCTTCTAGTACTTCTAATTACTGATTCCTTGTTCCAGCAAGCAATGTGCACCGCATTTTATAACTTCGAGTGAAATCTTACTTGTATTTGCCGGTAATTAAGAGCAAACTTTGGCGGTTATGAAAAGAAAAAGATGTCCCCGTATGCAGTTTGTGAGTTCGAAAGGTGGAGAGGGGGATGTTTGAAAGAGAAGGGGAAAATTACAATACGAAAATAATCTCGTATATCTACACAGATATCACGACGTAGTTGGTGTCGTTGGAACTATCTATGAAAGGCAAAGGAAGAAGGATGGAATAGAAATGAAATATAAAACCAATTGCGAAGACATCCACATGAAATTGTCAGCTAAAATAAGCTTTGGTGTCGAGGCAACAACAACACTAATAGAGGACATAACGAACTTGACTCCATTGTTCTATAACCTTACAAGTGCTCTTTTTCTTTCTCATCAACAAATGGTATTAGTGTTAATTAATCATACTATAGGAAACTTGCTCAAGAAATCACAATGGATTGTCAAAGACCACTGGTTTTTTTTCCAACCAGTGGTTAAAAGGAACTACGATTTTCCAAAATTGGCAATAGCCCATTTATTTTGGCTTATGAATGCGATTAGTGACATAAAAGGGCGCCAAAAAAAAACAAAAAATGGCGAGATTTGCTCTCTAACTGCTGTTTAACTTTTTCCGTCGCCGCCTGGTTTGGTGCTTTGCTACTGGCTGTTGACCAGACGAATGAATGACCGGGCACTACTCAAAATATTTAAGGCGAAAAAAAAGAGACATCTTTCTGTAAAATTTCTTAGAGCATAGCCGCAATGTAGTATGTAAAACGCTAGAGCACTGGCGGATAGTTTCGCTACAGATTTTAATTTGACAGGGAAAACATGACCATCTCATTATTTCCGTTTTGAATTCACCGTGTAGTTTTTAAGTTTTGGATAAATTATATTTTATCCCCTTGTGATTTAGCATTTTTACATAATCCCTTTATAATTTTAAAAGCTATGCATAATCCCCTCTGGTTTGAATTAAAAATGTCAAAGTGACAAAAATAGAAGAAAATGGGGAAAAAAAAAAAGAGAGAGAAGAAAATGCAGCCAAAAACTACATACATAAAAGCAAAAAAATACCTTCCTTTCAATTTCCTACATTTTTCCTTGCAACCAAAAACTACCTTGCGCCTCTGTGAAACGGAGAGCGATTTTTCCCCTTGTAAGTGCGCCAATTTTTATGATTTTTTGCTAAATAATTTAATAATCGACTAAATATCGAAAGCAACTTGCCTTCCACAGATTTCCTCGAGTGCAGAAAACAATCAAATCCATTTAGACCGTCAAAAGTAAAACTATTAACATCTCACTAGTCCACTAATGCCTCAAATATCCAATGGTCAGCATAATGCGCGCGCGCAGAGTAGTGCCATATGACTGCCAACTATATCACACAAATTAAAACCCCATAGTACGAAATTCAAGGACTTCAGCAGCACATACTGTCATCCCTCATCCACGATGGAATGTAGCACCAAATAGATAACTTAACAGACGTTATAATAACCAACCGTGACCCGAAGCTAGTCTTCTTTTACACAGTTCAAGACCTGCATTAACTATAAAGAGCATCAAATTACTCAAGCTTCATAATCTTTTGCATGATAAAATCTCCATAACCTCCTGCAGGTCGAACAAAAAAGCTGCCAATGATGTGCAAAAAATAATCCCTGGAAACAATTTCAACTATATCATCTTTGCCTCTGAAATTGTCGAACAAAAAAGCTGTGAATGATGTGCAAAAAATAATCCCTGGAAACAATTTCAACTATATCATCTTTGCCTCTGAAATTGTGGAACTTGCAATTTAGAATTGAAAAGCTATACTGCATCACCAATTGCCAAGAATTGCAATAGAATGAGGATGGGGCCACATGTTACACGATAAGCAAACTAACCGCCAGATTGCATCTTAAGCATTTCATGGACTAAAGTCCTACGGCAGCACAATATCCTTCTACAACCAAATCCACTAAATATTGAAAAGCACAAGTTCTCCTTGAGAGCAGAAATTTAGCCATAGGTAATAAGTCTATCCCATAATTGTTTTAGCTTGTGAAATTCAGGTATTTCTGGGCACAACAACGTTTGAAGTGATCTCCCAGATTCTACTGTTGGAAGTGATCTGCATATATCAGATCTATTCAAAATTCACTTTTATTTTCTGAACACACACCCATCAATTCACATGCAAATTGCTTTAAGCCTTTCTAATCCTTCAATTTGTTTGCCAGAACTCACAGAACAACACTGCAATCACATTTTGTGAGACATTCACAAGATAATTCTCATAAATAGAGGGTATACTAGAAGAATTAAAGTATAAACTAACTAGAGAAAATCATGAATAAATTACCAAAAATTCACCTCCATTTTGGGGTGTTGGCTTTCAGCAGAAAAGTTAAAAAAGAGTATGCTTGTTAAATAATGGGATAATTTCACAAAACTCCCTTGAGATTTCTGATTGTTTCACTTAATCTCCTGCACTTTTATCAGGAAATCCTCAAAATGTGGATCAAATCTGGACTTGTCTGATCCTGTAGAAGCATTCAATGCAGCCAAACCTAACGAACTAACGAAGTAATGAAGAAGACAGAAAAGCTGAAGTACAAATATGAGAGGTGCAACAACTAAGAAGCTTCAACCCAGGTAAAACTTGAATGCTACCCCTTCTTTTCCTTGCCAGCGAAATAGAAGTGGTAGTAGTGTATGGATTCTGAGCTTTTATTCCCACTGTTTTCTTCCCTTTCTTTTCTTATGTATAGATTTAGCTTATCTTCTCTATTCAGCTTTTTAACTTTCAATTTCCAGTAATATTTTGTGAGGTATACCCATCAGTAGTATTAGGATCTTGAGCTCCCTGAGTCTACCAGTTTCTTCCCTTCCTTACCTTATATGCAGATCTAATTTTCTCCTCTGTTTTTAGCATTTTTAATTTTCATTTCCCAGTACTAGAGCGAGGAATACCCTTAGCACCTCTTATAATATCAATGGAGTCGGAATTAGAAGAAATCTTGCAAAAATTCTCCCTAGCTGGGAACAAACTCTCTAGAGCTACTTTGGACCTGAGAGATCTGGAAGGTGGAGTAAGAGAGTGCAAGGACAGTCACATTGGAAGAGTAGTAGGAGAGAAAAATGCAAACTTGACAGGTGTTAAAAATTTTGTACAGCTGCCTGGGGATATCCAAAAAATCTGACAGTGGTGCAACTAGGACCTGACCTGTTCCAATTCAACATCTCTAACAAAGAGGACAAGGAAAGAATAGTGGAAGGAGGACCGTGAATGATAGACAACCAAATCCTGGTTCTGAATAGATGAACAGAGGGGATAGAAGAAACAACAGAAGCCTTTGAGATAGCCCCCTTGTGGGTGCAGGCATGGAATCTACCTATACATTGGGTAACAAAAGAAGTGGGGAGGAAGATAGGAGCAGTATTTAAAAAGGGTAAAGATGTTATAATCCCACAGATGGGAGGAAAGGAAGGAAGACACTTGAAGATGCTATTTCTAGCAGACCTGCCAAAGCCTTTACTTAGAGGAACCATTGTGAAAATGGCAGGCACGATGAAATGGGTTGCCTTCAAGTATGAAAGGTGCCTTTAATAAAGCTCTGCTAGGGAAACAGATCTGGAGACTACTTACCAAACCAAATCTTTTGGTCAGCGAAGTGTTGAAAGCTAAGTACTTCCCCAAGGAGTCAATTCTCTCATTTAAAGCACAAAGCAATGCATCCTGGATCTGGAAAGGACTACTGAAAGCCAGGGGTCAAATTGAAAAAGGGATATAATGGAAGAAGCACTAACATTTGGGAGCACAGGTGGATACCAGAATCACCTTCTGGCAAACCAACTACTCCCAGACCTAATAATTGTGATTTTGAAACAGTGCAGCAGCTCATCAACCACAGAAGATGGAACAGAAATACCATTTTCAGACTTTTCAATCAGACTGATGCAGAGAGGATCCTAAACATTCCTATTAATCTGTCAGACAGAGAAGACTTCAACTATTGGCAGCTCAGTGCAGGAGGGAATTACACTGTAAGCTTTGGGTACAAGTGGCCAATGGGAGAAAGCTCAACAAGAAAGGAAAACAGGGAGGCTGCTAGAACAAATTTTGAAGAAGGCAGTCAACAAAGCAAGCAAATCTGAAGCACCCTGCGGAAGCTCAACATCAAACACAAAATCAAGGTATTCATCTGGAAATGTATTAATGGTGCTCTCCCAGTCAGAGAAGCACTCATTTCTTCCTTGGAAGATTTGTACTTTCACATGTTTCCCAATCCAACAAATTTTCCTAATCTCCTAAAAACAATTAAAACATCATCCACTTCTCAAGATAGCTACGTAAAAGCAAAATCACATGTAATACAATCTAGAATGCCCAATAGCAAAATGTGTAGCAACGTTGACAGACTAACACAGCCCGTTGAATGTAATCCCACACACTTAAGTAATAACCAGTTATCAGCAAAATCAAGTCATAATCGAAGTTCAAGAACTTCAACAGCACAAAGTGTGTCATCCAGCATCCAAGGTGAGATTTGGTGCCACATACAGAACTTACATGACAGCCAAATTTGTCACGAATCAAGTCTCCTGTTACTAAGTTCAAGAACCTTAGCAGCAATCTGCTTCAGCCAGCAGCCATCTAACTTCATCAAACAAAGTTCTATTTCTTACATACATTAGTCATCTATATCAGCTAAAAAGAAGCAAACTAATAGTGCGATATGGAACAATCTCCATAACCTGCACGTTTAACAGAAAACCTGTGAATGACATTTATTAAACAACAACAATTTCAACTTGTTTATCATCGACTCGGAAAGAGAACTGGCCAGGTGCCAAGAATTACCATAGAACTAGTATGGGCAAGGCCTTACTTGACAATCAAGGCAGCCACAAGATTGCAGCTACATGCGATTGAAACAAACAAATTCTGCATAAATGTTTAGCTACATGCGATAAACCTCTCCCATACTTGGTTTTGCTAATAAATTCTAGCAGAGAGGCATATTCTACAGTCTGCAGGGATCCAAAATCACATTCACAGGCTTGTCAAATTCACTTATCTTTTGGTTCAATGTTGTTGGCAGTGGACTCAAAGATTCTAAAGTTGAATACCAAGTTAGTAAACATGGATCTTTGAAGCTCATCAAACTTCATTTATACTTGCAGAACATAATTGGCCTATCAATTCACATAAATTTTCTTTTAAGTCTTTAAACTCCTTTAATAACCTTAAAGTTGATTGCAGATGAGAAATTTTAGTTTCAGAAAGTTTGCGAGGATACATTTCTTCTAAAAGCAAAAAGGGCACCTGTAGATTTGTGATATTACAGCCACCAAAATGAACGCAGCAACTGAACAAGAATTCATAAGCTAAAAGAACAAACTGAAACACAAAAAGGTCCACAAACAAAAAATATATATATATAATGCACTTTACAAACTTGGAAACATCACAAACAATAAACTCAAAAACTTAAAATTGGCCCTTAATTAGAATATGTACATTGCATGAGCAGCGTTACTACCAGATTATATGGGAACGAAATGCTAAAATCAAGCAACATGTGAGATATGAAACACATACTAAAATGCCAAGCAACATTTCCAGTTAACCTTGATGATTGTGAAAAGTAGCAATCTTTAATTCCAATAGCATGTGTAGTTATGCAACAAAGTTGACTTGTAATCAGAACATATATATTATGCCACACCAGAAAAACAAGACATTACACAACATGTTATGCCTATTCGAGTCCCTCGCAAACTAAAATCACCAGAAAAAATGAAGTACAGATTATCTGCAACAAAGTGACAAAATAGCCTCCCCACCACACCTAAATTACCTTTGCATCCAAGAATAGTATATTCAATAGCAACAAAGGGTTCGGACTAGGCAACAAATTTGAAGTTTTTGAAAGACAGAGCCGAATATCCCACATCCATAACAAGTCAATGTATAGCAGCAGCCAAGACAATAATTGTTGCTTTGTATAAAGATTGCAACAACAACAAAATCAAACCCACATCAAGCCTCAAAACATGCATGTAGCATGCCCATGATTACACCCAGCAAAAACCATATGTCAACTTAACAGACTCATAGACTAGAACTCTGATGATTGTAGAACCAGCATATTAGTCAACTGCCAACTGTAGTTTTCATGTCAAGACCAGATTTTCACCATATGACAACCCTGAGGCGGAAGAAGCCTACTATATCATCAACTTAGTAGATTTCTGTAAAGTTATTTGTGTGGACATAGCAGAGGAAGTACGATATAAACCATGGAGAAAGTTCCTGAATAAATTGTTCCAGAAGGACCTCCACTGCTGACTTTTGGTATCTTTCTAAAATCATGAGACACGGGCTCATTATACTTACCCAGTATATGGAAGAAAAACACAGTGTGGAGATCATGCTGCTATTCTAGCCAATTCCTAATTTCCACCTATAAACTGATAACTCATAAAAGTTCAAAACCAATATCAGAAACCCAATTAGATTGAAATACCTGGAACAGCATAGGTCAAGTTGCAGGAACTGATTTGAGCCGGCAGAATTGCACATCAATAGATTCAGGATTCGGTGGTTTTCGCCCCTGCCAGACTAAGGCTTGGAAGGTATCAAGAGCATTAGTAACAAAATCCTTGGCTTGAAAGGTTATGTAGTAATTGACACCAGCACCGCAAAGTTGTGCATTTGCCGTCTCAACCTTTTCCCATTTGTAATTCTTAATCTGAAAGATTTTACTGTTTAATTCACTTGAAATAGGTAACAGACTAATGCAGCTGTAAAAAGTGATAAATATTAACAGAGGAAAAGAGTAAAAGAAAAATTAATTTTTGGAACACATACTTTTTCCTTGTTGAAATGCACAATTGCAGCTTTTGACAGTTCAGCCATGTCGCTCGAGAAATTGTCAACATCCAGGGGAGTAAATCGAGCCATCAAACATAGACCAGGATAATGATAAATGTCAAAACCCTAACACAAAGGTATGATGCCCCAAATAAGATCAATCTAGATTAAGAGAGACAAAGGGGGGAAAAAAGAAAAAACAATGCAGAACATCACAAATACCACACATAAATACCTCACTCTCCTCGATCTCTTTAAAATACTTGGTCCATACATCTTGATCAATCTCTTCGACCCCTTCGGGGCAATAGTCCAACTTCAATTTCTCAAATTGCTCATCAGAAATGGTAAAAATTTCATTTGAACAACAGGAATCCTTTTCTGATGTTGGCATCTCCTTTTCCTTCTCCTTGGCACCATGGCTTTCTTTATCATCAAGCTTGTGCTTCTTTTGGGGTGGTGAAGGCCCTGAAGAATCTTCCTGATCTCCACCTATATCACCAACATTGTGATTTTCAAATGAATTACTCATATCAGCTGATGTTATCTGCCCCAGTTATTCCCCTCTCCCAACCCAAAACACAAATTAAAAAGGGAAAATCGATCAAAACGTAACTCACATTTTGTAAAATAATTTTTTTTGTCCCTCATTTTTTAAAGTGTAATTTTATGTCTCTTAAATATTCACATCGATCAAATTTAGTCCCTAACTAGGTTTTCGATCATTTTTTTGGCCGAAATCCATCATATGCAAAGCACGTGATCATTCTTTAAGGGTAAATTTATCAAATTATATTTTACATAATCTAATCTATAGTCTTCCATATTTTATAAAATAAAATTTTTCGTCCCTCACATTTCACAAAATAAATTTCTCCATTCTTCACATTTTAAAAAATTAATATTTCCATCCCTCACTAATTATGTGTGTGAGAAAAACCCTAAAAATATATATATGTGTGTGTGTGTGTGTGAATACATTTTGTTTAAACACATATATATGTCTATTTGATTTTGCTTAATAATACGAATAGCATAAATATATGTATATGTCTATTTGATTTCACTTAACAATACAAATACCATATATTATGCGTGATCATTTGATTTCATCTGGTATTAGCTAGTAAAATATCTTGCATTCATTGTCAAGTTGGCCAATAAAATTATTTTCGATCAAGATACAATAAGAATATGCAAATTAAGGTTCTATTGGTAAATATTAGTCATAATCATACAAAAAGAGAAGATAGCCCACAAGTTGGGCCCAATTACATACATGTATTTATGCTATTATTATTAAGTAAAATCAAATAGACATATACATGTGTTTAAAAAAATGTATTCACACATAATTAGTGAGAAATGAAAATTCATTTTTTGAAATGTGAGGGATGGAGAAATTCATTTTGTGAAATGTGAAGGATAAAAAAATCATTTTATAAAATGTGAGGGACGAAAAAATTATTTTATAAAATATGGAGGACTATAGATCAGATTATATAGAATATAATTTGACAAATTTACCCTTAAAAAATGATCACGTGCTTTGCACATGATGAATTCCGGCCAAAAAATGTTGGGAAACCTAGTTAGGGACTAAATTTGACCGATGTGAATATGTAAGAGACATAAAATTATACTTTTAAAAGTGAGAGACGTAAAAAGTTATTTTACAAAATATGAGAGACATTTTGGACGATTTTCCCAATTAAAAATCCGAATTCAATCCTCCACAGTTGTTTGCCAATCTCCCCGCCCAAGATGTGTACTTAAAAAGTTACCCTATTTGACTTTTCTATCCAACTATTCTTGACATATACAGGAGAGGGGGGAGGGCAAAGCAGTCAAAACATTTCACCGCAAAATACCAAGAAAAGACCGAAATGGAAACACAAGCAAGAAGGCCTTCCAAGTTCCACCATAAATAACCATTAATAACAAACCGAAAAATAGGAACTGGACGTTATAATTTTAAATTAATCTTATATATGATGACATTATATATAAGATTTATTCAATATTTTTTAAAAGCTGTGACGTATGTGATTAGAAAATGTGTAAAGAGAATATTTTTAAAAAATTCCATAAAAATGCAATCCGAACTCTCCTTTTGTCTGGGGCAAAAAGGGGAATAAATTTAGATATATATCAATATTGGTATTTTCCAAAAAAAGTTAAGCTAGGTTGTGCCATGTGCCAACTTCCTTACGTGTTCAACCAAGTATGGGCAACAAATTTTTTAAGGGTAATAGCAAAAAATACCAAATCACTTAAGGCAACGCAGTGACAAAAGTTCATCTACAATTGCGGGGGCTTATTATAAAGGAAAAATTACAAAAGGAAGGGAAGAATTTGTTCTAATCGCGCCAATCTTAAACTTTTTCTAAAGGTGCATTTGATAAAATTGAAATTTAAAATCTAAAATTTGAAGTTTGAATCCATTAAATTATTGAATTGTTAAATATTAAATCAAATATATTTGAATAGTTTATCATTTATTTTTTGGAGCAAGTTTTGCTTAAGAAATTCACTGTCAATTAATTAATTCAGACGTTTAATTTTTTATTATCAAACACGTTTGAATATATTAAAATTTGAATCCATTAAGTTTAAGTGTTGAATTGAGTTATCAAACAAGATTTAAATGTGCTATTACATAACGAGTAACAAAACATAAAAGTGCAATTTTGAGAATTGATGCATGTTTCTGTCACTCCAAACTTATCACTCGGGTAGAAAAAGGGGAAGCTTCAGCAACAATCTTTATAATTAATTGACTAATTCACTCTAAACTTTACAAGTGGAAATAAAAAAGGAGAGAGCTTCAGGATTAACAACGTTATGATTACTTTTTTTTTTTTTCAATTTTTTGGGGATTACTTGGTTAATGTCTTCAATGTTATGTGGCGTTCTCCTTTCCTTATTAAGATTTTAATGTGGCATGGTTGGCAGTTGGCACAACGTTTGGAGCATACGCGGCTGGTTCTGAATCGTCTAATAGTGGGCTCCACACTTTGGAAGGCATCAGCATCATCAGCTGCAGAATCGTAGGCTTGGAAGGTTATGTGATAGTTTCCTTGACACCACAATACCAAATTTTGTGAGTTCGCATTCTCAACCTTCTCGAACAAAATCGATAATTGAACACACACACACACACACTTCCTTTTGGCCTACACCTTTTGCAGAGAACAAGAACAAATGACAGATGCAGATCAGATGAAGGCTCCACCTAAATTTCTAGGAAATCACCTAAATTAGCAACCCTCAGATAGTTTAATAGGGCGTTTCAATTCAAAAGACTTTCTGTTTTCTCTTCATGTCTTTATCTCTCCATCTCTGTAGTTCAGTATTCGGATTGCCACCAAGTTGACAACATACATATGTGATTGTCAATTCAAGGTATGTTTTGTATCCCATAACGTAAGTTTATGCTTATCATACATATTTGTTTCTCTACCTGCTGGTACTGATTTGAGTTCTTCTTTCTTTTTTATTTTCTCTCATTTACATGTAAACTTCAAATTACTGACGGGGGTTCTTATTATTGTAAATGGATGTGTAAGTTTATGCTGATGTTAGGTCAAAATGTTAAAATACTCTCACAAGATTTAGAAAGTAAGAGCTAAATTCTCAAATATATATATATATATATATATGGGGTCTCCCTCTTTTGGTTGAAATTCGTATTATACTTATAAGGCTCTTTCTTGCAACGGTTATGTTTTATGGTTGGGTAATTTATGGGAGGTGGCTGCACGCAAAGCTGTTCGACTTGCAAAAATTTACGGGCTGTATCTTTGAAGGGGATTATGCTTCCATTATTCAAGCCTTGACAAAAGAAGGAGACGATTAGTCAGTGATAGGACCTTTAGTTAATGAAGTTTGATTAGCAGCCTTGTTAGAATTGCATTTTAAAAGTGTTGTGCATGAATTCGCCCATTTTGCCAAATATATATATAGCAACCAATTTGTACTTTTGGTGGAATTTCCATCAGGATTTTGTCAAGCATTTCATGCTAGACGATATCCAACAATTTCAACGATAAAATTTGATTTCGAATCGTATGTTACACAAATAGGTGTAACATCCAAATTACCCTGCTCCTTAAGTGGCATTCATCTTGTAATATTTGGTGCATAATACCACTGGGTTAGTGTACGCTGATATTTCAGTGTAAAGCTGTACCAAATATTAACGAACACCAAGCCAGTGAAACAGCACACCAAATATTGAAAGATGTATAGCATAATATGGGCGTAATATCCACTTGTATAACAGAGAATCTGGAGCCATAAAGCTTGTTTCTTGTTTTATCATGTCAAAAAAAAAAAAAAAAACGCCAAGGGAAGTAGTTATACCTAAGAATATCATTCATCTAATTAAAACATAACTAATTAATTAGTAACTATTGTCATGAAAATTTTTTTTGACCAATACGTATCTGATAACAAAGTGTCAAACCACCAAACTTTCACCCATATCTTCACCAGATCGACTTGAAGTTTCTACAAGTTGGGTAGGTTTGAGTTTGGGGTAATATTACAACGTTCTTTGGCTCTAAAACTGGTTAGAATTTGTTCCAAATTTCGCAGCTAGCCTTCAGATTGTTTAATGGCACATTTACATTTAAAAAGAAGATCTACCTTCTGTTTTCTCATTAATTATAACAACAATGATAATCATAGTAGTAATAACAATAATGCAGATTATTATATAACAGATAACAAGAGGAACTTGGAAAATATTGTACTTGTAACTCTCCCATAAAGGATGCATGAAACCTGGAAAAATTCTATCAGAAACTTTTCAAGCATGGTAGTTACATGTTCCTTCCAAGTTCCAAACCAGCCCCATCTTCATCATTCAGTATAAAGATGTATTAATTTCTCTGGTCATTTTCTCAGCATATACCTCTATACATCTTTATCTCTCTATCCCTGCAGTTCAATGTTCGGATCTCCACCAAGTTGACAATAGATCTACCTATGGGGTTATCAATTCAGGTATGTTCTCATATCATATTCATTTCTATACTTGTTGGTGTTTTGAGCTTTTCTCATTATTGTACATGCGCACGCGCACATATATATACACATACATGTACATGTGTGTATGCGCGCACGTGCCAATATAAGCACAAATGAATGTGAATTGGATCAAAAACACAAATGATTGGAGGACATATACTATCAGATTGACGCTTTTCCATCGATTCTCAGTTTATCCAGGACCACTCAACTCTTTCCCCTCCACTCTTGATCTCCAGATCTGCATACAAATGAACAAAAGTAGAATTCCAAAATTCCAGACCTACCGAGCAATTGGAGACGTTTTATTTAAGGATTTTCCAGATTAAACTGTCTTTGCTCTCACATATTAGATGACCTAACAAAAATTGCCGCTACAGTTGTTGGACTATCATTTTTTGCTCGTGTGATGTTATTCAGATTCTTTTATTTTTTTAGCGTCAAAATTTAGAAGTACTCCTATAAGATTTTGAATGCAAGAGATAGTTTCTCCATTGAATAGTTTCTCCATTGAAAACTGGGATGAGTTAATATATTCCTCAGTTGGTTAAAATCCATATTGTGCTTATAAAAAAAAAAAGGCCATGGAAGAAGTCAGAATAATTTTTTCAATAAAAAGGGGTGCCATTCTTATCATAACCAGATTCATTGGTATGGTAGACCATAAAGAAGAAAAACGTAAACTGTGGGAAAAAACGGACAGAAACAAAAAGGTTAAGAGGATGAGCAGATGTGGCAATGTTTCGACACATTTAATGTTTCTTTCTAGCGATGGTTGCGTTTTATGATTGGATAATTTTACCTTAGATGTGTTCTCTGCTTCGACAGATGATGTGAGTCAATGAAAATTTTATTTTCATTTTAAAAAAGGAAAAAAAGAAATGGAAAAATCAATATAATGTTGCATATACACTTGCAGGTAGTGGAAAATCGGCAGGACCATTTTAACGATAGATTTCTGTATTACCATGTACTATATTTCTGCTTCCTTTCCTTGCATGCCAAGAAATAAAATAAAAGCACTAGTGGATCACCAGTATCCATTTCCTTGTCGATCCATTCATTGTATGTTCTAGCAAAATTTTTATACTGCTTAATTAGCTAGCTTTATTTTTCCTTTTCCTTTTTTCCAGTTAATATTATAAGCTAGCTTGATTTTATCTCGAGAATAAAGCATTTGAATCCCTAGCTTATTATTTCTCATGGCTGAGTTACCATGCTAAAGAAAAAAGAATGTAGAGCTCAAATTGTTATTAGAATATTTTTGCAAGGTAACTGAGGTAAAAATACCTTAAGCATACCTCCCCAATCAAGAAAAATAAGCAGGCATATATACTAAGATAGCAAACTAGAAACTAGCATCTCCATCTCCTCTGAGACTGAATAGAAATTGATATCTTATGCAGGTAAGCACTTGGAGATACACATAGTAACATGAAAAATGTTGGATAGGTTCAGCATCAATAGTCGAGAGAGTGAATAGTGAAAAGTGTGTACATGACCTAATTTGAATTCCATCCATCAAGTGTCCTTCCCAACTCTCTTCTGCTCTTTCCACAAGACGAAGCACAAGGACATAGAAATGGTGGATGACAAACACAATTCTATGAGCATTGTTATGTACCCGTGGTTTGCCATGGGTCATCTCACTGCATTTCTTCATTTGTCTAACAAGCTTGCTGACGGAGGCCACAAAATCTTCTTCTTGCTGCCCACAAAAACACAAGCCCAGTTGAAACAGTTCAATCTCTATCCAGACCTCATCAACTTCATACCCTTATGTGTTCCTCAAGTTGAAGGCCTTCCTCCTGGTGCAGAAACCACTGCTGACATTACTTTTCATTTGCAACCTAATCTGCGCCTAGCCATGGATAACACACAGCCCCAGATTGAATCTATTCTCCAAGAGATCAAACCCCAGGTTGTTTTCTTTGATTTTACACATTGGTTGCCAAAACTGGCTAGGCATTTAGGCATTAAATCCATCTTCTTTATCACAACGAGCTCTGCAATGTCCGGCTACACCTTTCGCAGAGAACAGACGACAGATGCTGATCTGATGAAGGCTCCGCCTGGTTTTCCTTCTTCCTGCATTAAGCTCCTTAGTCATGAAGCACGTGGATTGAATTTTGCTGGAAAGGTTAAGGAGATTGGCAGTGGTTTGTCGTTCCTGGAGCGCCTGTTAATAAGTGCTGAGGATTGTGATGCCATAGGCTTCAAGACTTGTAGAGAAATGGAAGGCCCTTATTGTGAGTTTATTGAAAGAGAGTTCAAGAAGCCGGTCATTCTTGCTGGACCTGTACTGCCAGAGCAGCCAACCACAACTCTGGAAGAAAAATGGGAAAAGTGGCTGAGTGGATTCAAAGCTAAAAGTGCGATTTTCTGTGCATTTGGCAGTGAATGCAGACTACAAAAGGATCAGTTTCAAGAACTACTTAAGGGACTTGAGCTAACAGGTCTGCCCTTTTTGGCTGCCCTTAAACCACCTATAGGATCTGAGACCATTGAAATGGCTTTACCAGAGGGTTTCAACGAGAGAATTCAAGGAAGAGGTGTCGTTTATGGAGGTTGGGTGCAACAACAATTGATTTTGGCGCACTCTTCTGTGGGGTGTTTTGTTACTCATTGTGGTTCAGGATCATTATCAGAGGGTTTGGTGAATGAGTGCCAGATGGTGCTGCTGCCACAATTTGGAGATCAATTCATCAATGCAAGACTTATGGGTGGAGATCTTAGAGTTGGAGTCGAAGTGGAGAAAGGCGATGAAGATGGATTGTTTACAAAAGAAGGTGTTTGCAAAGCTATAAGAATGGTGATGGATGATGGCAGTGAGATTGGAAAGGAGGTGAGAGCTAACCATGCTAAATGGAGGGATTTCTTGTTAAGAGAAGGCACCGAAAGTTCTTATATTGATGAGTTTATTAACAAGATGAAAGGGCTGTTGAACTAATGGTGGATTAATTACATATTAAAATTCCATTGTGAATCCATTTCATTCCTCATGTCTGGCTATTGAATTTAAACAACTCGGACTCCTTCTTCTGAACTTTGTTGAATTCTCCAGTAAAAGATAATGTAGCAGGATCAACATTTTTTGCCGCGCTCATTTTCTATCGAGATGATCAAATATATCCTGTAATTACAAATTTGCGTACAATTCTCATCGTTATCTTGGAGTTTACTTTTGTGATGTGATGTTTTCTTCCCTGTTTATAACGCTAAGTAGGAAATTAATTAATATAACCTGATGGTTTGGCATGTATAAGTGTAAGTATTAATCAAGTGCAAATTTCAATTATCTCCAGTTTTGTGGATGGTATTTCTTAGCATCTTTTTATACAATTTGGCACTCAAGAATTATGCTCTTTTTGACATGCATGTGATTAATTATCCCATACACTCTATGATCCTTTTTGTCTTTGTTGTCTTACAATTGAAATTGTCCTAAGTAATAACCTTAATTACTTGTTAGAGTTATCAAGCCGTTCTGATCTTTTACATGCTGTTGACCGCTGAAACAAATGGAACTAAACCAAACACTACTCGATGATCTTTACTAATAATGACTAAATTAAAGATGGCCAAGTTTAGTCGTCTTTAATTTGTTCTGGTAACCACATCCGAAAACTGACAAATGAAATCTTAGAATGATTTTCTTTGTTAACTCTTTTTCTTTGCTTAGAATTGATAAAGGCCTTGCTTTCATTATCTCGATTCATTCCTGACCGTGTAATACTTTACTAAGATATATGCAATTTCCCCAAACTTGAATGTTGTCTAAGAAAACAAAAACGGAATAGTAGACCCTCAAATTTTGCTCCTCATAGTGGCTATCTAGTAGTATCTAAGCACCGTCCATATATACTTTGATTGAATTCTGAAACAGAGAATCATCCAATCGTCCATAAGCCCCCCAATATTAGTCTCTTTCATTTTCGTTTATATCTTTTATAGGTTCCTAAGCTAAATCGAATATGTCCTTGTAACACCTGGAGAGCAAAATTCAAGACTAAATCAGAACTCAGACAAAATTACATTACACTGGGAAAAAACTTTTTTCCTCGATCTGTAATATTTTATGAGTTGGGCTTTAGTAGGACCAAATTATTTTGTTCAAAACATTAAACTGTTGGGCACAAATTTGCCCGTCAAAGTTCACAAGCCCAAGGCCTGTTATCGGCTCGCGCGTCACGTTATTGATCAGATGTTCAGGCGGCCCCGGCTCATTGCTGCTCTCTAATTTTCATTTTTACTTTTTTTGGTTAATTTATTGAAATAAAACTGTTCCTAATATAAAAAGCTATTGCATCCTCTCAAAGAGAAAAAAAAAAAAAAGAATTTTCATTATGTAAACTAAATGGATCATTTGTATTATTTTAAAAGAAAATAGAGTTTTTTTTTTTATTTTACCAGCAAACTCCGTCGACAAGGTGAGGATGCCAGCCTCTTGTTTTATTAATAAAAATGGAAAATAATTACAAAGAATTTAAGAAAATACCAAACAAAGAGCTCAAGAACTTCCTAACATAGGAGTACTACTCCTTTTACAAAAAAAATGTACGTATTGATGAAAACCCTTTACAATCTAATAACATTGATGTCCAAATAATTCAAGGAAGCTGGTGATATGACGTGCAATAAAGCTCAGAGGAAAATTGCAAGTTTGCCAATTTATTCGCCGCTGGATTGGCCTCTCTAAAATTACGTGAAGTCGAAGATGAAAAGGAATTTAACAAAACTCTTATCCTTTGCAATGTATCGTACAATGGCCACTTCGACATCATCCTTGAATTCATCAAACGGACCAAAAGAGAGTTTAATTTCTTCAATTTTGTGTAATAAAAAAATAAGTACAAGATTAAAGCATGGATATCCTTATACTATATAAGAATGAGTTTAGGATAAAGATGATCTTTGGATTTTAAATACAAGGGTAGGGTTATTTTGGGAATGTGAGAGTGTTTGAAGTGCAATTAGAGCATTGAATATGAGTCATTGTAGTTAATTTGGTTTTGTTGTAATTATTTAGATGTCCTTTTAAACATTCAAAGCTAGGGGTAAGTTTGACATGTAACAGTGTTCGATATCCGATCCAACATTGGGTACAATTGAATTTACCTTGTGTTTTAGTAAAATTACATAAAAGCCCTTCTAATCATTTAATTGTATTAATATCCAAGTCTTTTAATTTTCTGAAGCCTTTCTCATCAGTTATTTGCAAACTTATTATATATAGATGTTAATACATAATTAATGCCAATTAGTAGAGAAGTTTGGTTACTTGACGATTACCATGGCAACTCTCATCTATTCAAATTCATTTTATTTACTTATAGTTTTGTTCCATCACAATCATGCAACCTATTTGTTTCTCAATAGGTACGTTTTCTTTAGTCAATCTACTTTTTGGTTGAAGAAATCTATAATCTTGCAAGTTGTATATGAAATAAATTTTTAGTGTTTTAATTCAATTATCCATGTTAGACAAGCTTAATAGGGAGAAGATCACATTTGCTAATTGTTATTTGTGGTTTAAAATAAGTTTATCATCATAAAATTTTCCATTTATAGATTGTAGCTACTTCTTTTGTTGTTTTTAACTATTAGTTATGGTAATTTTCAAATCGTTTACTATTTTATTGATGATTCCATCTAGGCAAATTTTCACTTCATTTGATTTGCTGCAAATCTACTTAAAACTATCTACTTAAAACTATTTTGCTGCAAATCTAAAAGTATGTATTTCATTACTTTTATTGTTTTCTTGAATTGAGTGGATTGAGACGCTTTAGTACTTTTTTGAGGTAATTATTCCTCTAAACTAGCATGTTAGGTGTTGTATATTTTTGCAATTAGCTCAAAAACTGATGTTTCGTGATTGTAACCCTTATTGAGGAGATTCTTTGTTATATGCCCTAAATCATACAATAAATCATAATTGATTGATTGGTCAATGTGGAGGTTTCGTGATGATATATCCTTGAAATCAATATAAAATCAAGAATTTGGCTTGCAAGAACCGAAATTCCACCAGCAATGATTTCTTTAAGTATGTAATTGTCCAAATCTCATTTGTATGACAAGATAATGTGGTGGATTGCCCTCATATCAATATTAAATTCAAACTAAACAATAGATTTTAATATTCCTAAAGTGCATAAGCGGATATAAGTAGGTTTTTTATTCTACTAGATTATATGCAAAGTGGTTGATCGTATCTTATAATTATGTTTCATTGCATATTATATATTTTGACTAATGATTTTTCTGTTTAATATTACATAATAAAATTGTCATACTTCAATTCTTATACTACAAAATATCAAATAATAATTATTAACCATCTCTAATTACAAGCACTAAACTCCCGCGCGTTGTGCGGGCTTTTTCCCCCAGTAATGTTCTAAATTGCACATTCAACTCTTAAATTGGATCTTTTTTTCATCTCTTTGGTATTGAAGGGTTATGACTGTATTTTGATATACTAGTCCAATTGAAATTGTGTGGGCAGTTACAATAAATTGCTTATCTCAAATATAGAACATCAGAGCTAACTTGAACAAACTTCATAGTGTTCTCATCTCTATTATTGAATCAAACTTAGAAATATATATATATATATATATATATCCTAACACAATGTACACAAATGCATCCCCTATCCATGAATTCTTATACTTTTCTAGTAGGATCTCGTTGAAAATATATGATTCACAAGGCGCAAGTTTCACCCTATCTAAAATTAAGTTTAAAATTGCAATCCAAGTTTGGTATGACCTTTTCTAATGTTAATTTGTTTAATGGTTATAACTCCATGAAAAAAAAGTAAGAGGTCGAATTGAGTTTAGTCAATTAGCATCAATCGACATTGATTTATCATCAATCAAACTAAAATCGAATAAACTTTATCATTGACTAATTTCTCAAATACATATCAATCTGATTGATTTATTATTAATCAAACTAAAGCAGAATAAAGTTTATTATCGAATAACTTCTCAAGTACATATCGATTTTCAATTAAGAAGCATAAAATACAATAATATTAACATTGTGCTAAGCAATGTAGATTCAAGCTTGGCTCTTTCAAACACAATTTTAACAATGCAAATTATTTGACGTCTAGCAACAATATAGAGAGGAGTAAAGGGATATTATATGCAAATATGGCAATAGTTGGAGGTGAAAGTTGAAAGTAACCCGTGATAAAAAGTGAATCCGCTTTTGTTCAAGTATCCGGGGCGTTTTACATTCCAATATTCCCCTTCCACTACAATCCATGAATATCTCCCGCAGCGCTTCCCACAACTAGTGAGGGTTCTTTGCCGATAAAAAAACTTATTCCCATTTAGCAGAAAGAACCCAGAACCACCCCCCAAAGAATCTTCTTGCTCTTGTTCTTTTGCCTCTTCTTCAGGAGCAGAGGATTAACTGATTATTTCGTTTCTGTGGTTCCATTTTTGCGTTTGAAATTCTCAGTTATTTTCACAGACTCGAAGCAGACAAAAGATGGGAAGGGGAAAGTTTAAGGGAAAGCCCACCGGTCGCCGCCAATTCTCTACTCCTGAAGAGATGAGTATGTCACTGCTTATTTGGTTTGGATGGAATTAAGTCGGAAATTTCCAGTTTCTGATTGTGGATCTGATTTTTTATTAGATAGATTGATTGAAGGTTTACTTAAATTGGGTCTGTTGTTTGGTTTAGTTTGCAAGCTGTTGGGATCTCTCAGCTGACTTTTGGCTGATCTGTATGATGGGTTTGGTTAATTAGATACATACGTATACATACTATATTGTTTGAATAAAAAATTTATGTCTAAGGTTGGATTTCTTTTGAGAAATTGAGTTCGGAATTTTGTTGTCTTATTAAGATTGGGCTGCTGTAAAGTGTAATTGACTAATTCTGAAACCAACTTTCTGTTGGGTCGGATGGATTGAGAACAAAATTGTCTAGTATTCACGCGGACTAGATTCACGATAAGCTTATACTATCACTTATTTTGAATAAATAAAATAAAGAAGACTGTATCATCCAACGTTTGTGTTCCCGTCCATTGTTTGAGATATTACAGTACAGCACAGCTGTGTAGAGTACAGTTGCGTATTAGATTAATAATTGCCTTAATAAGAGAATTTGGTAGCATGGTAGATAGTGTGG